AGCAGTAGTTAGCTTTTAAGCCCAGCCAAGAGTGAAGAGAGGCAGGTGATCTATGGGGGTTTGTCTTCCTCTTTCAATCCACCCCATAAGTTCTTCATGTTCAGCTTTTAGGGGTGGAACCATGTAGCTCTGCCTGTCACTGTCCAGAGTATAATAAATAACCCTTTCAGATATCAGATAATCTTAGGATATTGTGTCACATAGAGGCTTGATACAAACCATATATATGTATGTGTGTGTGCAAATATATACATACATACACATAAATACTCATATATACAAAATATAATGTTTCCTCTGTGTGTTCTTGCAATAATTAGCTTCTGTTGCTTTTATCCTAAATATCCACAAATATGCCAGACTCTTTTCTTCTATTCTTCCTTCTACTCGTGTCTATCAGGCCCTTTCCTGTTGCATTCATATAGTTAAGTCAATTAAAACACACACACACACACACACACACACACACACACACACATCCCACTGTTTAGCTCTTTTTAGGTAAGTTTTAGGGAAATGCCCAGAGATTAATTGAATTGTCATATATGTTAATGTGAGTTGGGGACGACTGGGAATGGGAAGATTCTAGCAGCAGATTTTTGGGTTTTCAGTCTATAACATGAGATAGAACTATATTTTGATGTGACAAAAAGAAATGTCAATCAAAAGAATGAGAAAGGTCAAAGAAAGGATACGGTGGTAGCCAGAGATGAAAGAAACTGTGAGCCATAAAAACATTTTAGATATAAAAATTTGAAGAAGGAAGAAATAAAAGTGTTTAAAATGATGATAGGGGAGGGAAAGCAATTGATTGGGCCTTTGAAACCACACCAGGAACCATGAGCCAAGGGCGGTCCCAGAGGAGAAGGCCTGGTAGGACAATGAAAAGGGAAATCTGGCTCCTCACAGCGCAGCCTGGAGCAGGGCTACAGAATTTGCTGCAGTGAGAGGTGGGGCCAGTCTGGCACAGTCTGTGAGCTTGAAAGGAGCTGGGCAGAATGGAGAATGCCAGTCTGCCTTTGTAGTTCTAAGCTCAGAAAAGGGGTGACAAATACTGGGCTTCAGGTCAGAAGCCTGGGTTTGGGTAGATTTTGGAAAAATTTTCCCTTTGCTCTCAAACTCTTAAAATGTGCTTATCATACCACTGGCCTCCAATCACAGCATAAACACGTGTCCCGGAGGCTGTCTTCCAGCAGAGATTTCGGCAGTGGTACCTGTTGGCTGACTAAAGGGGTTCTTTCCTTTTCCTATTCCCTAGATAACATAAACTTGGCTGAATACAATATCTTTGCATATTTCCCTTCACCCTTCCCACATGCTCACATCCACCAGCCTCCTAGGGTTAATCCTCAGGACAACCTCACTTTGAAAGAAAAAATGTGGTGAGCCTACTTGAAGATTTGGATCCAACAGGCCTCTGTCTGTCTTGCCTCAGCCAGACTCCAGAGAGCTGACTCAAGAAGATGAACATTTACAGAGATAAAAGCAGTAAGTTTTTGTTGTTGTTTGTTTTCTAGGCTTGGTTGCCCTCCAGAATCAGGGTTCCTGAAAGCATGGGGTTTCCTTTTTTCTTTTTTCATTCTTTCTCAGCAAAAATAAATAACATCCCCTTACCATCCTGGGGGGAATTCATAAAAGCAATTGAATTAGAAAGTGCTTCTTTATTGCTGCTCATACCCTGAGTTAAAGATATCTGACTTGATCTAGATGTGCCTATTCTCAACATTGTAATATTTTTAAATGTATCTGCATTTGTAAAATAATTTGTACTGATTGTTCTTCTCCAGAATAAAAAAATATATAAGTGGCCGATTGATTGTAATTATGATTAATTTGTCCCAGTGTTTACATGAATGTCTTTGGGAATTTTTTTGTGCATGTTTGCTGCTCATCAAAGAGAAAGATAAAAAGACTTTAGAAGGAGGGTGTGGTCCGGCTGATTCAGCCAGCTTCTTGGCCCATTACTGACTCCTTCCTCCTGCTCCTCCTCCACCCCATCTCCCATCTTGGCTCCTAAGATCCATCCTGAGCTGGCTGTCAATAAATTAGGATCTACCATTCTTTTCTATTACAGCCTGTGTTAGACTCGGTCAGGTAGGAGACCATCCTCCATAATCAAACTTATTACATTTGTGATCTCAGCTATTTTCAAACCAAGACATAGATCAGACAATTGCATCTACTCCCTAAACTTCTCCCATCCTGAGATTATTAAACAAAACAGTAATAACGACAATAATACTGTATTTAAAGCTCTCTAGCACATTACATCTTCGAGAGCTTCGCAGATGTTAACTAATTAATCTTCACAACACTCCGTACAAGAGATAAGTGTTATTAACCATAATAGAATATACCTATGGATATGCTAAGGACAGCAAAATAGTTCACTTATTTATCATGGTTCATTCAATATAGTAACTGGTATTTTTAAAACACCCATCATAAATACAATAATTAGAGATGTGCTTTTGTTAACAAAACCACTACCCACTTCTAGCGTACCCTTGGGTACTAAATAATTACCCACTTTGTGTGGTTATCTAGCTCACTAATTACCCACAGAAATTGGGGTCAGGTGTTAACTGCTTGAAATAAGTATCCTCCAAAGACATCACTGAGTTGTATAGAGAAAATGATGTGTTCATAGCAAAACTTTCATAACTCATATATTTGTATATCTTTGTAAGCTGAGCAAATACAGACAGGACAAATTAGCTTCATATGTGAAAAATCATGCTGAACTATCATTGTAAATACATAGAAGTTTAGGAGAGTCTCAGTAAATTTCATTCTCTGTTTATCTTTACTTTTTAAAGAGGAATGCAAAACATTATTCCCATAATCTGGCCTTCATTTACAAGTACACTAAGACAATTGATGATTCTGCTTAGGAATGATTCATTTTGGTGTCACAGGGAGGCACCCAGTGAGTCAAAGACTTTTTTTTGACAGCTCCACCCTTTATGATTATTCTAGTATATTTCTTTTTTCTGCATTAGTCTAGTGCAAACACCCTATTAGCCAAATCTAAAAAAGATTCTAACTCAGTCACTAACCCCTGCAAACCATCTCTTTTTCCTTCCCAACAATGACAAAAAGAAAAAAAAAAGTTTAAATGAAATCCAACACTATGGTTATAGGTCTTTCTCTTTTTGCTTCTTTTCTCCTATCCTCTTCTCTCCTCTCCTCTCCTCTCTTTTCCTCTGCTCGTCTCTCATCCCCCAACCCCTACCCCTTCTCCTCTCCCTTCTTCTTCTCTCTGAGTCTCCCCTTCACTTGATTTTTTTTTTCTTCTCCTTTTCCTTGGCATCTAGCTGTGTTACTGCAGGTATCACAGTTACAGACAAAGCACGATGTCTGAGTTGAGCACAAAGAAGCTACCTTTTAAAAACACTGACTTGGAGGAAACCTACATCCTCAGATACCTCCCTCCCTTCCTCGCTATGTATAAAACCCAACATTATACTGAATACAGCACCGCCTGTAGTCTGCATGATTCTAGCCAGAAAAATTGGGTTAAGATGGCAATATGTACCCAGTATGCTTTTAAATAGGTGGAGACCCTAGTTTTCAGACAGTACCTATTTTACAGGATCATCGTGTTGCCAAGCTTTTAAAACACACGTGAAGAGAAATGGTAGGAGATGTTCCCCTAGTCAGCTCAATAAATTAGATGTGTTTTATTTTTTCTTGTGCCACTTTTTGTATCTGAATTGTTGCTTATCATTATCAAGGGACTTTAGGCTGATCAATGAAGTATATATGTATCTGAAGGACATTTGAGGCAAAATGCTTGAGGAATAAGGAAAATGTCTACAGTAGAAGCAGAAAGTTAGGATGAGCTATAGTGACCAATGAGTTCATTTCAAAATCCAAGGGAATGTAAGTGGTAAATTAATACATATGGAAAATATAGTCAAGCAAAATGCAGCCACTGAAAGGAAAAAGAATTTTAGCATTGTAGTCATCACGTGTGTGAATAGAATGTCTGCGTATTTAAATTATAGATTCAGTCACTGCTCTTTTATTCCTCTAAATGCCAATTTCAGTGAAGTATCTGGACATTGTTAACTTTCTGTCCATAAAGAAACCAACCAAGATTCACAAACACACATTACCTGCACTCATACATGCATATGTATGTTTTAAATACCCACAGGATGTGGAACAATTGGGTAAAAAACTGCACTGTGGTTTCTCTTCTTCACTCCTTTCCCCTTTATTATCCTTTTAGAGCATGTGATACCTGATCTCTGCATTTAGCAGGCTGAGGAATTTTGTATTTGTATAATACAATGTCTGGCCTTACTCCTAACCTGATAGTGTATTTTTGGTCTCATTAGTAGTCAGGGAGATGCCTTAGTGCATCCGGTGCTGCGAGTCAGGGATGAGACACTACAGCAGAGAGAGGGAGTGTGCATGAGAGGATATTAGAAGAGAGGCTTGTCTCCAAGATATGGAAGGAAATGAGAAATGATAAGACTGTGAGCTTTGTATGCAGGATCCCGGCAGGGTGGGGAGAGATGAGGAGAGCCAAGTGGGTTCTCAGAAAAGCGGGGAGGCCATAGAGGAGCTAAAGGTGATTAGATGGAAATATTGATTCCTTATTCTGCCAGAGATTTAAGCAGGCATGCGAGGAATCTGCACCATGGTTGGCAAAGGAGACCCATTGCCTCCTGTAACCAGACACTCAAGCTTTCCAGGAGCCTAGGGAGAGAGCTGAGAAGAAAGGGGGCAGTGTGGTCTAGGAAAATTCAACTTGTCGCTGATTTGTGCCTGATGCTTGCTGTCCGTCAGCAGCCTCCCTTACAATCTTTTATTTCCCCCCCCCCCCCACCTTTTTTCTTGCCTTCTCCTTCTTCACTGAAGCCTAGGGGAGCCAGTAAAGATTAAATGTGCTTTCTCAAAGGCAGCCACTTCATGCTCCTATGTCGAAAGGGCCATTACTATTATTATTATTAATGGTAAAAGAAAAATGACACAGAGAGGTTAATGAGAGAGAGAGAGAGAGAGGGGGAGAGAGAGAGAGAGAGAGAGAGGAACTAGGTAGAATGATGACGGACTAGCTTTTCTGAGAGGAAAAGGGGAGAGAAAAAGGAGACCCTGAACTGAGCAGAGGATTGTGCCTGAGAAGAACCTACCGAGGTGAGAAAAAAAAAAGTTGTCTTGAAGATGGGGGTGGGGATGCTGAATAGACTGTGTACTGAGGGGAAGAGACATAATTTAGCTGTCTTGCTGGTATGATTCTATTTTGAAAGGGGGAGGGGAAGAGCCTGGAGCTTTAACGGTTTTAGTTGCATATGGAAATATATACAAAATATTTAGCATTTTTACTAAGTGCTTGAGACCTCCTCCAAGTGTCTTCCTTGTGGGGGCTGCTTTGTTATTCTCTTTGACTAGCCAGCCAGCCATCTACCTTGTTCAGACTGGAATAAAAGAAGAAAAAAAAAAAAGAAAGATAGAAAGAAAGAAAGAAAGAAAAAAAGAAAGAAAGAAAGAAAGAAAGAAAGAAAGAAAGAAAGAAAGAAAGAAAGAAAGAAAGAAAGAAAGAAAAAGAA